TGGAGTTTCAACAGTTTCAAACGTTAATGACAATAATCATTGGAGTTTTAAAAGTTTCAAAAATCAAAAGTCAGTTGTTGAAAGTAAAAAATTTTGGCAAAACGTAGGCCCTCTTAAGGGCCAATTTTTGATCAATTGGTCCGACATTCGTGTACGCAGTCGTGCCCGCACACAAGTTCAAGTTTCGAAACCTATTTCGGTCAGCGATTCGCACCTCTTGCGCGCACACGTGGAGAGAGCATCTATATTACACATGATTACACACTTCCAAAGTGTAGCCATATATAAAGTGGTTCTTACTTTCATAAACTTACTATATAGGATAAACTTAAATTTAGTTTTCCCTCCAATATAAACTACATTCCAATTGTCCACTTTGAACTCCAATTTGTTATTCACCCAAGCTTCATTTTTGTCAAGTAAATACATGATTTCGATATTCTCACGGAGAAGAACACAAATTAATGTTGATCTTCCAAAATAAGCAAATGGGTCTACTCAAAATTTATACCATAGTCAGCCATTCACCTCATTTTTTTCCAACAATCCCCCACATGAATGAAAATTGAGAGAGACACAAAAAGTGAAACAAAGACTTGGAAATAAAGTTCAACGGTTGAAACTTGCATAGGATATGTAGGTATTACCCTTTGAACCTTCCCTTATGAAAGCAATTTACTTTACTAGTTGACTAGTACACATGTTGTCTATGAACTATTCTGCCATTTATGTAAATGATGATATGCTCTACACATGTTTCTTCCTAACACTCAATTCTCATTACCATGTTCTTTTTTTGCCATGAACATATGTCGGTTCTATGAGAGTTATTAAGAATTGAGCCTCACGCAATTTTTTTAGAAGCGGCCCCACTTCTCTCTCACATAAATGATTTCTTATTACAAGTAACTCGCATGACTTAGCTTGATTTTCGACAAATAAGAATCATTAAAAGTATGTTGTTTATCCTTCATCATTATGGGCATCACTATTGCATCATAGGAATGGACATGAGGTAACATTTTCCCCACAGTGATTTAATTAAGTCTTTACAATTAGGTTATTCCTTTGAACCTAGATCTTGGGATATCTACTCAATTCGGTTGTGTTTCCTTTGTATTAACTTATCCTTTGACCTAAGGCCTAAGTCTCATCTTTTCAATGATTTCCCAACTAACTTTCTATTTAACCATTTGATTAGCGGATTCACAATGTTATCCTTTGACCTTACATAGTTAATAGTGATAATTCCAATTGAGAGTAGTTGTCTTACGGTATTGTGTCTACGACGTAGATGCCTAGACTTATCATTGTACATGTTACTCTGTGCCCTTCCAATTGCTGATTAACCATCACAATATATGCAAATTGATGGTACATGTTTCGACCATCTTGAAATATCCTCTAAGAAGTTGCGTAACCATACAGCCTCTTCACGACATTCATCTGAAGCTATAAACTCAGATTTCACGATAGATCTAGCTATAACGGTTGGTTTAGAAGATTCCATGATACAGCTGCACCTCCAAATGTAAACACAAATCCACTAGTGGATTTGGAGTCTTTTATATCAAATATCCAATTTGCATCACTATATCTTTCAATGACTGCTGGATATCTAGTATAGTGCAGCCCAAAATTATGAGTATATATTAAGTACCTTACTACTCTTACTATTCATTTCCAGTGGCCAGTTATTGGATTATTCGTGTATCTACTCAGTTTACTAAATGTGTATGCTATGTCTGGTCTTGTACAAATCATCAAGTACATCAGACTTCCAATNTTGTATAACTCATCATGTATATCATACTTTCAATAATTCTAGAGTATTCTACTTGAGAGTCGCTCTCACATTGGTTTTTAGATAGATGCTGACTCGTATCTATCGGTGTTCTAGCCATTCCAGTATCATCATTGCTGAATTTTTCTAAAATTTTGTCCACATAATGTGACTGGTTTAGAACGAGTCCATTATGATATTTTGCTTATTTTAATTCCAAGTATGACATCAACTAAACATATATCTTTCGTTAATCTTAAATCCACATTCCATCATAACATTGTCAAATTTTTCATGCATTTGTTGGTGCTTGTTTCAAGCCATATAACAATTTCACCAATTTACAGACTTTATTTTCCTACCCTGGTGATGAAAACCCCTCGGGATATTTCATGTATTCTTCTAACTTTCCATTCATTAAAGTAGTTTTAACATCTATTTGATATACTTCAAGATTTCGTAGAGCACCAATCGCAAGTATTATCCTAATAGATGTTATTTTCGCCACTAAAGAATATGTGTCAAAGTAATCAAGGCTTTCACATTGTCTTTAACATTTTATTATTAATCTGGCCTTACACTTTTCGATAGTTCCATTTTCTTTCATTTTCCTTTTGAAAATTCATTTGTAGCCTAGTGGTTTGCTTCCTAGAGAAAGATCCACTAGCTCTCATGAATAATTTTGCAGTATGGAATCTATTTTTACTTTTAATGGAATCTTTCCATTGAGGTCATTCTGAAGAGTTCACAGCTTCTTGATAATTTTGAGGTGCACTTTCTAGCATATAGGTCAGAAAATAGGACCATAAGATTTTTCCGTCCTTTCTCATTTGCTAGTCTTGGTTCAACTTTAATCTCCTCTTCTAGTTCTTGGTCTTGACAATTTTTAATTATAGTCTCATATGTCCGTTTAGAAGAGATTGCTTCCTCTTGGATCTGTAAAGAAATACATGTTCAAATAATGAAACATTTCTTGATTCTAATATCGCCTTTTTGTGTATGTCTGAGATTTTATATTCATCAACAAGAAATCGATAAGTACTATTATTATGTGCATGGCCAATGAAGATGTAATCTACAGTTTTCAGGCCTATCTTTACCTTCTTAGGTGTTGGAACGACAACTTTAACAAGACACCCCACAATCGTAAGTATTTATAGGAAGACTTTCTTCCTTTCCATAACTCATAAATGGTCTTTTCCATTTTCTTTCGGGGCATATTATTTAAAAGGTAATTTGCTGACGACACAACTTCTTCCCACATGTTGTGAGGTAACCCAAAACTTACTAACATTTCATTCATCATTTATTTTAAGGTACGATTTTTTCTTTCAACAACACCATTTTGTTACGGAGAATAAAGTGCCTTGGTTTCATGTATGATTTCATGTTGTGCACAGAATTCA